ATGTCGTAACATAGACCAGCTATGAAATAGCTATAATTGGTTATTTTTCTCTGTGGTAATGTGTTAATGGTTACGTTGCCCAAAACTGTCTTCCCTATGGGGAAGCTTGGGATGAGATTCTCCCCCTCCCCTGTAGAGTGGAATTTGACACCTAATGAGAAAGGTATTTTCTCCTCTTTTACTATGTATAGATATTTTTAAGTGTTTTAAGGCCTTCACAGTCTCTGCATGTCCCCTACTTTTAACTGTAATGAACTCTCTGTGTACACATTATTCTATTTCCAAAATGTCTGCATTTCCATTCAGAAAGTCATAATGCAGTTATTATCAGAGATTTCCACATGGAGTTATTGAATCATATTGGTAAGCTTGGTTTATGCCTAGGTGCTGTGACATGAATGCACATTGTCTTGAATTAGTCTAGTAGTCTGGCATGTTGCTGAGTAATAGCACACTGCAGCCCTTTTAACAAGCTGCGCAGATCAACTTTATAAATACTTGGTTAAGTATCAGTGTGCCTCGTGATGTAAAAAACAAATAGGAAGAAAGTATTGCACCAAAATATTTACAGTCTAAAGGTTTCACCCATTAATAGTTCATAGCTACTGTCTTCAGGAATGAGTCTATCGAGGTGACTGGAAATACTCGTGCAAAAACAAGTTACATATTTGTTTGCAATAAAGTCTTAAGAGACTTTAAACTTTAAAAGAGATTCCATTTCAGGACAGGGATCTAACTGAACTTCAGCAATGAAAGCAAATCAAAGCGTAACAACATTCACCCCAATCCTACTCGACTCAGCAAAAAGTTTACTACAGAGATTTTCAAAAGAATTACTTCCTTTTTGTCACAAAAGGTTTAAAAATTTTACTTAGTGTCTCCGTCAGGAAGAAAATTTTGCTGTTTAACACTTAACATAAGTGGTATGTATTTCATGTAAGATATGTTGTCATGATTCAACTTATGTTTTGGATGTAATTTCCAAACAACAAGTAGCTCAGTTATTTACATTTATGTTTCTCAACTCATACTTTAGTTTCTATGCAGTATGTTCATCTTTTTAAAGCATTGATTTTTGGCATTTATCAGTATCTGTGTATATCCAAACAAAAATCCTGTCCAAATAATGTTCTAGGATAGTTCACAATTACATCTAAAATGTGTACATAGAAAAAAAATGATTGTGGATAGATATATCATAGATATGTACATACTAGAAGATTTTAAAACAAAACAACAAATGGAAACATTGCAAGTGTCAGATTCATAAAGTCAAAATACTAATTAAATCATCTGCTTTCATGAATCGTCACATATATCTATAGTTATATTTTTTCCTAATGCATTGATTTCATACAATAGAAATGATAATGATCAATTAGAAATTAAAATGAAATTAAATTAGGAAAAAAAATTAAATCTGATTTTTACCCTAATAACATTTGTTGAAAGACCCTCTATACTTCTGCAAAGGAGCTGAAATGAAAACTGTAGTATTTTTTTCCATTAACAAAGAATAGGATAATATTTAGTACATTACAGCTAAATAAGGTTTTCTTTCCAATGAGTTATAAGTTAATCAGACAAATATATTTTCATATATATGTTTTATATGAAAATATCAAAACCAGTTACTACTAAGACAGAAATATATGATACACACACAGATGCACATACCTATAAGCCATCAGTGCCAAATTTTGCTCTTTAGTGTACATGCACAACTCCTAACGAGATAAGCAGGGAATGTATTTAAATAGTGCACATTTTAAATTGCTACATTTCGGTATATTGTTTTTCAGATTATATGCATATAATCAGATTGTTTTCCAAGCAGATGTCCATTTGACTACTTAAAATCCAAATTGCTATTGAGTAGGCAGAGGTAGATAATGGGAAGGGCAAAGAAAATGCAAGCCTTTTTGCATCAACAGGTGACAATAGTAAATAGGGAAAAGAGGGGAATAGACTCAGAGGAATATACCTTCCCTGAATTGTACAGATATATAAGAAAGAAAAAAGACTTGGCAGAACTTTGACCCTTTTTCCTGCAGTGATGATCATGTTGCATGTACACGGCTTGTGTTAGGTGATACACACAAGAGCAGGGGGAGGACAGCAGGAGGACCTCACAGAGGTTTTTTCTTTGGAAGTTCTCAAAGTCCTCCCGGGGCTGTTCCGAGAGGAGCAACGCAATGTGCTCAGGGGCAACAAACTACCCAGAGTGAGGAGACAGCTTTCACTAGTCCATGCAAGTATCCTATTTCAGAGCTCAGACTTTGAATACTAAACTTCAATTCACGTATTTATGGTCAAGTTATAAAACCATAAAAGCAGAGAGACAACAAGAATACAGATTGATACACAGTTAAAAAACCCACAGTTGCACTGCAATTGAAAAAGACTAAAATTAAATGTGCATGCCACTCAGAAGTCCCATATAAGAAGAGTAGATTTAAAAAAAAACAAACCAAACCACAAAACCCAACACCAAAACCCGATATATATATCGGCATGCAAACATGAGGATGTTTGATTACTGTCTCCTAGAAAGTGCAGTGTTTAGTTCTCAAGTGATTAGATGCTTTATTTGGACATAAAATGAACTGAAAGAATATTTATTCAGAATAAGTAAATAAACAAACAGAAGTTAACAAGCAGGTATGTATTTACCACGGTTCTCAATACAGCAATACCTATTTCTGCACCAGACATTAACATTTTGTAAAATGTTTTCTTCAAACTAAAAAGTACAATCCAAATGTGCCTAAGAAAACAATCAGCTAGACAACAGGGGCTCTCGGATTTGCTTGTACAAAGCTAGTGAAGGAATCATAGTGCTTTAGATGTGACAGGCAGTCGGTTATTTCCACAGTGGGTAGATTTAGATTTATCAAAACTATTTGAGAAGCCTAGACATAAAATTGATTGAATTCCATTATTCAGCAATAATCTTGAATACTGAGATGAAGAAGCACACTCTAACCTGAGAGCCTATCTTAGCTAGCAGAATGAAGTGACTATTCTTTGCAGTATAAAATAGGAGTGGATCCATAGAGCAAATCAGTTGGTTCTCAAATGTTCACACCACGCTCATTTTGGAATTTTACTTTGAGTTGTTTTAACCTGGTTCCATGGACTGAGCACCCATTTGCAGTCAGAGTATGTCTCCCCTGCCTGCACCCCCCACCCCCCCCATTTAAAAGGAACCCAGTTTGCATGCTCAAGACTGCTCAGTGTTGCAAACTGGAATGCAATAAACACGGACAACTGGGAAATCCAATAAATGTACTCCTGTTAAGCACTAAAATGCTACTGTAGATGCAACCACTAATACTATCCATGTACTCAGTGACAAGATAGAGCTGTTCCAGTTTAAGATATTGAGAAGTCAATCTCTGCTTTGAAATTGCCTTTTGGTTGAAGCTACTTCCATTCACAATGCATATAAAGTGATTAGAAACTAAGTCATGAGACTAGTTTTTCTGAAGTAAGGTGCTTACTGTTTGCATTATGAACACTTTGACAGATAATGTAGGATTTTCTGTTCAGTCTTTAATATTTTTATTATTATTTTTTCCTGTCTGGTAAAATGGAAATGGAGTGTACCAATGCCCTTCTAATACACCAAACATAGTCAGTAGTTTGAAATTACTGTTACGTATGTATCAAATATATACATGACTTCAATGATTAAAGAGGTTATAACATCTTGTTTCGCTACTATCAAAAGGGTGAAATGTCCTGTCTCCCTATGTTCAGAAGCAACATAAAGGGAAAAATTTTGGTGAGTCCATTACCCAATAGCCTGCCTCCATCTCTTGAACATCAGGACGTAATACAGAAATTGTAGTGTACGCAGAAGTTTAGCAACTGATAAGACTTCAGCTGACAGAGCATATAGGTAAGTTACTTTGAGATACTGAGAACACATGTCAAATTGCCAAAACACACAGAAATTTTGAGTTCTAGTACCTATTGCAAGCTCCAAGCCACAGAAAACTACTTTATTCCTAAACTTTTGTCATCCAGATAAGTTAGCTGGATTAAAACTACAATACACGTTAATTAACTAAGATATAACTAGTGACTTAAAAATTACTGCTGCTGAAATGTAAACAATAGGATATCCCAAAGGATCACAATAACATCGGATAGTTAAAGTCCCGATCTTTATTCAGTCTGAATAAGGAGAAGCAGGAAGAGAGTCTGAAGCAGGAGATACTCTTTTCCATAGGATAAAAAGAAAAAAAAAGTTTTTAAAGTCTAGTCTGTTCATCCCTTGGTGTGAACAGAACAGTGTTTTATAGTCACTAGCACTTGTGACTAGCAGTGATGTGTTACAATGCATAGTATTCAGATTTGACAAAGCAGAATAGAGATTACTATATACTGTAGTTTTTTTCAAAAATTATTGTCAAAATTTATGGAGCAAATGCTCCTAATCACCAGGAAAGCATAAGAGCCCTGAAAGGGTGGATCACACCCATGCAAGCAAGCTACAGCAATGCATTCAAGGACTGCTTACAGCATCACAGTATAGTAACATAAAATGTATAGACAGCTTGCTCTTGTTACTCTGAAGTAATTTTCCACAGCCTCAGGCCAAAGTCTGTTAGAAACAAGGCATGATTATCTCCAAGTTTTATGCACACTGACATTAAGAAGCATTATAAATGCTCAGTAAGCATTTTCCAACTCCAAAAACTCCAGGTACTTCTAGACTGAATATCGTAGTAGCAAACAGTGCCACATGGTGTGCTTAGTGTGCTTATCAGGTAACATTCGAGGCAGGTCTGCAAGTATATAGACTGTAATTGTCAGCACGTCTTTGTTTATGCCTTTGCTCCAGTGCTTCCCATCAGAAAAGCTAAATGCACAAGAAAAGAAATAGCTAAGAACCATCTATCCTTTTTCTTGACAAGAGGCAATACAAGGGCAATTATACAACTGAGTTGACTGTATGGAGCCAGATAGCCTATATTAATCTGTAAGCTTACCTTGGCATACAAACTTCAATTCCTTGGCATCTGTGACAGTGGTTCTTTTATCTGACCTCTTTTTTTCCGTCCGTCGGTGGCTACGTCTTTTCTTTGTCTCTCCCCAAAGATTCGATCCACCATGCATGCTCGGAATATTCAGAATAGCAATTCCTTCCAGAGAAATATTGGTTAAGTCTAGCTGAATTCCATCACACTGATTAGCAAGGAGAAAAAAGGAAAGGGGAAAAAAGAGAGAGAAAGCAGTAAAAGAGAAAGAAAAATCAGAATGTTCTACCTATCAGATATTTTTCTTCAACAATTCATCATTCTTAACACTGTTAATGGTTTATTCAGTGTTTACATGCAAGATATATACTTGTATCTGGAAAGAAGATATGAGATAGGAACAGATCCTCATTCAGAAAGCAAAACATGATTCCTATTCAGCTCTTGATTGCTTAAGTGTGGGACCATTTGGTAGAGTCTTGTTATCTGATACCTATTCATTGACCCAAGTGAAATATATTTGTAGCTTCACTACGCTATCAGCAGAAAAATGTTTATACTACAAAAATTTCTATACTACAAAAATTCCTTCCACACGAAACTGAATATAAAAGTCCCCACATACAGAGCATATACAGCTTTATGGAAAAGAGTCTAAGCGGGCCCTGAGAGCACAGAACATCACACCGATGTTAGTTTCAATCCAAAGGCACAACTGGCACATTAGCATAGGGCTATGCCTGACTAATAACTCCTACTGAGAGGTAAGATTAGTAAAACTGGGTACAGCAAAATGCAGATGCAGCTACAGCACTTCTTAGCCCAGAACTTCCATCAGCCAGTTCTCTGAAATATGCAGCATTGCCAAAGGAAAACACAGGATACGGAGCTAAAGAAAAGGCATCAGTGCTCTAAAAGCCTTCCAAGACTTACTGGACACACAGAAGAAATCTTACTCTGTGGGACAGTCCCTTCAGTGATGGAATCATTACTGTAGGGCACCTTGTGTCACTAGTCTGTATTTCTCCTGCTTCCTACAGCAACATTAGACATTGAAGCATTTTGTACGTGTACATTCCTTTGCTAAATTTGGCTTCAAATTATATTTTATAAAGGGACCATAATTTTCACTTCCAGAAGAATGGTTCAGGGACCTTAACCTACCAGCCTGTTCAGTAACAAACTGCAGCATCTTCTCAGGTGGCAAAAGCCTACCACATTTGCAAACGCAGTTCACCTGACACACATCAGATGAGATGTACCTAGCTTGATAGGACACACTTAGCCTTCATATACTATAATTTACTCAGGCTAAGTCTTCCTCCCCACCCACGTTGTTTTAGGATGAGGGGAAGTTCATAACCCATATAAAACAGCAAAATACTGAAGAACCTCCACAGAAGGAAAAAAGCTCCAACTTCAGATAACTATAGTTGAACCTGCAGGTGGAAGGCAAAACATCCAGTTCTACTTATTAATTCACTGAACCAGCCAAAGTTCCTAGGATTTATATACTTGTACCTTGACTAGAGGTGGATTAGCTTCATGCCTCACAACATAGCTAGATTATATAGACACCCTGGCAAGTCACACGCACCTTATAGTGTATAGCAGCATACTTTTAAAACATTAGATTCTGCTCCTGTAATGTTCTGAAAGCCAGTAGGGGGTCCAGTCATGCATTTAAAACTGATTACGGGTCTTAGTTTGTAATTCCAATACACAATAATCAGGAAGAAAACTGGAAAAATAATTAACCATGCTTCAGTAACAGTCCACTGACATCTTGCAGCTTGCTGCTCTGTGGGTCACTGGCACTTTTTCCTCTCTGCCTAAAACTTTATCACAGCTTTCAAGAAGAAAAGGAAAGTACAACTCAAAAATAACTGCATGTAATTATTTGTTTACCCTGAAACTTTCTGAGATCACAAAACAGAACTGTATTATCAGGCATATTCTGCCTCTTAATTCTTCTAAGAGTGTAAATCTGGAGAGAGAACAATTTCAACATTAAGGTTTCCATTTCATATTTGCTCTTCAAGAATTAAATTTTAAACCTGTGGATTATATTCATATAGGGAAACCTTTAAAGTCAAAAGACATATCTGGAAGTAAGTTGGCAGTTGTGGCAACTACTGTAATTGAAAGTGTAACGTTTTAATCACACTTTTCTTACAAGAAAAAAGTCATGGGTCTTCACTGTTATTTTGGAAGCAAATTTGTTTTTCCCCCCTATATTTTCTATGTATTAAATATTAAGATGATTTATTTTACTAAAAATTCTGCTCATGTGTATGCTCACTTACTGCTATACATTCTAGATAAACAGATATTAATTTCATAATTAAAAGTAATCTTGTGTAAATACCCTGCAGGCCTCAATGAATCAAACACATACTGTGTGTCAGGCCTCCCACTGTCTTCAAGTGGAATGTACTGGCTGGATAATTAGATAGTACATATTTTTTAACCTTATTTGCATGCATATTATATCTTTTGCACACTGACAAGCAGCAGTAACAACAAAAGTCAGATTACCAGAGGGAATTCCCACAAAGAAGTCTTCATTCCTTATAATTTGCAGCCTAAATTAAAATAATTTGATCTTTGACAAGGATGAAATGTCAAGCAGAAGGGGGTCCTCTACAAGCCACGGCCTGTGGCTTCTGAAATCTGCCTAATTTATGTCAGTCACTTCTTAATACATATTTAAGTATTACACGAGAAAGATGATAAATATGCAATCTGACACCTTTGGTATTTCCCTGCTGTTAATTTATAAAGGTCTGGCGTCCCCCAAACTGACTGGAATTATTTAAATAAAAGAAGAATTGTGAAATAGGATGGCACAGGGTCTGGCTTCCATTTTCACTCAATATTGAACACAGCAGGTAGTACACTAAGACAATTATTTGACTAGGCCTCAGAATCCCACAGTGACGAGGAACTTTCTGAATTAGTAAAGGAGGATTTCTTTTGTTCATACACAGACAAGAAGTTTGCGCTATAGGCACCTCTGCGTTGTCCTAACACATTCATACACTACAACAACAAAACACAGATGTGTTCTGCTCCTTTTCTTTTTTTTTTTTTTTCTTTTTTTCTTTCAAATAATACAATGATGCTGCCAAGAACAAAAGCATGCTTTTAAAATGCGGAGCGTGCCTACCTAGATTAGAAATAAATACTGGCACTTCTTTTCCTTTTTTGCTTTCTTTCCTGGCCTCAGTCCCTTTGCAGGGATCATCTTTTACACTTCATTCATTAGACCAAAATTTTTCAGATCGTCTCAAAGTTGAGAACATTATCCATGCCTGAAAACAGCTCAGACGAAGGCTTTGCTGTCTAACCAAGTGCAATATCATGCAAGAATACATGATTCTTTACACTCCTTTCCCCCACCCATTAATACCAGGTGGTACAGTAGGTTTCCTCTGGTCCCACAATGCTTTTACAGTGCTGCAGGTATGGACCATGCCATCTCCATTTATACTGGATCTATGCCTACTCTCATTAAATACACTTCACACACCTTTCTTTTTTTCTGAAGTGAAAATAAAGTGTAAGTGCTCTAATCTGTAAAGTCTTAAGCCTCATTTACTGATACATTATTATTAAAAATAAATACTTAATTTTGCCCTTTTTTTTTTTTTCTTAAGAGCCTATGTTTCTCTCCTCGACTTCTTGGATCCCAATTTGGAAATAAAAGCACATCTTATTCTGGATAACATAAGAATTTACTGTCCAAACTTTGTTCTGCATCTCACACAGAAGAAAATATACAGAATATAAGAGACATGATCGTATATCAGGAAAGCCAAGCTTAATTAGGATAGAAATCAAATATAGGGTTTGCCCACAGAATGTTTGATTGCTGTCTCCCAGCTCAGGGATACCGATCCTTAATCTTCATGGGCTTTGTTCCTTCAAATTTGGCTGTGGAGCAAACTCATTCTTTGTGCATTTTATTCAGAGTGAAATGTGGTATCGTACACCAACCTCTCATTTACAGCAACATCCCCAAGCAAGGGGCAGCAGGTTAAAAATCAGATGAAAACAGTGCTACTCCCAACTGTTTATAACATACAAACAAGAAACATTAGATACAAGCATATTGGCAAGCATTGTTCATTTAATGTAATTTACTCATTCTAAATAAATCTGTAAATAACTACCTCCTAACACTTCTTGTGTAAACATTTTCGAAACTATTTCCCCTATGATTTTTGTTCCTAATTGTAGGACTAATGATAATGACCAGGATAGATGAAGTGAATATTAACAAAAATATACTGGCAATCTAATACTTCATTGGTAATAATAGTGTTATTGATATGAATTGGTAATAATTATACAACTGGTATCAGCAGCATCACAAACTTGTATGCATACTATTTGCTTTGGTATGTTAACATTTCATCACCCTTTCAATGGTTACAATTAGATGGTTAAAGATCATCACATCTTACAGGTTATATAAGATTTTTTGCCAGATAGAAATATTTTCTTGGGAAAGCCTGCTCTTCAATTTGTATTTAATCAAAAGGTACATTTAACTTGCAGTATATTAAAATCAAATCAAATCAGGTAAGCATTTCTTCTAATAACTAATCAAATATTTTTCAGGCTACATGTACTTAAACCCAGATGTGTGAAGCACCGTCTTGGGAAGCAAGGGTTTTTTTTGTTTGGTTTGTTTTTCCCAGGAGTTTTATTTGGTTGTTTGGGATTTTTATTAATTTTTTAATCTAACATGTATGGAGCATGTTTCCACTTTAAAAAGAAACATAACAGCATATCAGGCAAGTCTGGCACCACAGGTCTTACAGTTTCAGTCTCAGTAGTCTTTGTTACTGTTCTACTACCAGACCCATGGTCCCTTCAGATCATTTCAGCCTTCGCCTTTCAGGAGGCTTTGACCAGAATCTCATAGCTCTCACCATACCTCTCCAAGTGCCTCATGCTACTATACAAATACTTCATTGAGATGTGCTGTTTCTCATTACTATTGGAAAGGAAAGGCACCATAATCCTCTTGAGAAATGATTTCATTATTTAACCTAAATTCTCAGGTTTGTACCTTCACTCATTTCACATTTTTTATTTACTGATTTATAAATATCAGCCCCCCCAAACAGTTTATGTAATGGCCATCAAAGTAGCAGTGGCACATTATTTTAAATTCCTATTTTGTCTGTAACTATCCTGTGTCTTTCAGTTAATGTTCGATGTATAATGGAAAGATGACCCCTTGTGCAGAGAGAAAAGCTATTTAATGAAGGGGAATGATTCCAAAAAATATATATTCTTTAACCTTTATTCAGGAAAGTAAGTACAATTTTAGGGAATTGAGTTTTAAAGGTTATAAAAACTTGGGACCTAGAAATAATAAGATTTTTTTTTTTTATTTTAATCCTGCAGCAGCTCTCACTCCCTCCGACAGTCTTTCATTTTTCCATCTGACCTAGCCACACTCCCTATTGATTTCTAATGTTATATTTCACCTCTTGACCTTGTCTACTGTATTAAGACTTCACTAATCATCAAACTGAACTTTGTTCCAGTGTGCAGGGCTACACTACAAATAGACATGATAAAAATAATATTTTGGAATATAGGGTCGAAAGGATGTGCACTGCTTTGCCTTGTTGGATTCAGGCATTCTGCACCCTTGCTCCCTGCATTTCAGCCAAACTAGTGACATTTCAAGGAGAAAGGCAACAATTAGTTTCTTACTTCTATTTCTACAGATTCATGCAGCTTCTTACAGGTGGCTGAGAAAGTTTCCGAAGTGCCAAATTCAAAATACCAAAATTTGTTCTTCATTCTGAAACAAGAAAAAAAGAAAAGAAAAAAGAAAGATCTTATTCACTATCAATATGTGACAAAAGTGATCATCCTGTCTTCCATTATAAGTAATGGCAAAGGCTTGGGAACATGTGACATCCCATTTGAAATAGATGAGCTCATAATTTTCAAAGCTTAAATGTTGGTGTCAAGTTGTATGATATCCCCTAAAGGGATAACAGGAATGTGTTGAACTGACAGGTTCAAATGTACCTTTGACTTTTCTTTTTCAGTGATTATCAGAATATTTTTTGTCACTTAACCAGTGACATGCCTCAGAAAAATGTATTGATTTTATTTCATGTCTTATACCTACTATATGATTTCTGATTCATGGTTAAAATCTCTATCCCGCAGAGCACTAGAATGTGCAGGCAGGGCACTCCCATCATGAAGAAGAGCCAAGAAAAAAACATAGCTTACCTTAAGTTAGTTAAAGGGAAAGGTAAAAGCTTATTGTTCATGATGACAGATGAGATATTCAAAGAAAATAAAAATTCCAGCTCTAACAATCTTTAGATATTTTGCAGTAGGAGAGCTGTATTACCAGGTAATTAACTCATAGACACATTTTAAATGGGTGATGGGACCTGCATCTTGAAGTTCATTAACAGATTCTACAGAAAAATAAAACTGGATATAAATGCTAGTAAATTGCTTAGTTTGTCATGACAGCAGGCAGAGATTACACTTTTTTCTTCTTAAATACATAAAGACTGCACTTCTGTTTTACCAGATTTATTGCATACTGTTAAATATAATCAGGACACCAGCAGTACCATTTCAAATAAGTATGTGCAGTTTTGTTTAACTCTCACGAGTAATTATTATTGTGTAACAAAACAAGAAGATAAACTAAAAAAAAAAAAAAAGACACTGAATTAGAATTCATTATTCACACTTAGGAATCAGATATAAGCACAGTTCATCCACTTGTATAAACTGTTTTCTGACAAAGACACAGTGCGGTGTGCTTGGAACTTGAAAATGACTGGGTTGGCATAAGCTAGAAGCGGAGAAGAGTGAAATGCAGACGTAGATGACTGTCAAACATGCCAGCAAAAGTACAAATCCTACCCTTGATACTTATTTCAAATCACACCTAAAAGTCTACTTAGTGGCTCTTGAAGTCCACTTAATGGCTCTTAAAATCACAAAGGGAGAAGGGGCACTACAGTATGTGAGCCAGCAGTTCCTGGTACAGTACCAGAGGTGTGCAAGGGTGTCCAACCTGGCAGCCTGCACGGGGTGGGAAACAGAAGAATAATAAGAGAGAAATCAACACATTTCTGAAGAAGAATTTACAGGCATTTCCAAAGGTTTTTGCACACAAAATCTGAAAATGTTTGGAAACCGTTTTTGAGAACCTGCTCTGGGATAAATGGCATATTCTCAAAAGAGCTCTAACAACCAGAAGGGCTCAGACCAGATTGAACTTCCAAACTCCAAGAGTCTGTGAGTGGAAGTGATCTGATGTACGTTTCTTCTACGCCTGCAGATTAGTTAGCACACTGACATGCTGACATGGATCAAGTGCTCTATTTATGCCAACGTCTATGAAGAAATGTAGAGTCCTTTAATTTCCAAACAAGTGTGAACAAAGTACTGAATTCCTATTGGGTCCTTTTGGAAAATCTGGATGTAGTTATTTTCCTGCAACTTTCTACACAGGGATAATGAATAATGAAACAATAAAAAAGCCTGATATAAGTATTCAGAAAAAAACTTTGTCATTTCTTTTGATCCTATTGTTAAGATCAACAAGCCTTTGCATCTTCTTTGAGAGCCTTTCCATCTTCTCCTTTGAGAGCCTTTCCTCTTGCTATTCAGTTTTTTTACCTCAAATGAAGCATCTTTTCTTTTTCTCTATTGAAAAGTCTACTTTAAATTGACTTCTTAGCACTGTATATAATAAACTCTTTGACTTGTGCAAAGATAAAATAGACAGATATATTTTAGAGTAATTCAGAATGTATTGTGTCAAATTAATGTATTTTGAGTTCAGCAGAACAAACCCCAGCATTGTCAGTGCACTCAAGGTTTACTAGAACATTTAGATCTGTAAATCAAAACATTGTATAACTATATGAGAGAAGATTAAGTACATTTATCAGGTGAGGTTTTGATGGTAGATGTATTTCTTGTCATTTAATATACCCTATAAGATCCTTTAGGCCAAAAAATGTAGTCTTGTGAGCCTGTCCTCCTTTCTGTAGATTACTATATCTCTGTTTTTAAGGATAGAAAGACAACCTACTCAACAGCTTTTCGAGTACAAAGGTAGATGTAGATACAAATAATTTTATTCTTCATTTTCAAAAGGATTTACCAGCTCCCTTTACCAGCCATGAAATAGATTAGATTGCATGTTTTTATTCAAATGCACTATATTTTTTATTGAACAGAAAACTGTACTGTATCTTTTCTTATATGTACAAAACAAAGTTAAATGTAAAGAAATCAAGACAAATTATACTAAAATTTCCATAAGCAAGACCAGTCTTACTATTATAGTAAACACTCTACTTTTTCTAATAATAAACAAATCTCTGTATTCATACCTTTCACTTGCATTCCTCTTTCAAACAAGTGAGGCTTACCTGCTTATCAAGACAGCAGCAAATAGTAGAAGAGTCCATTTAGAAGATTAATGAACTACTCTCGTGGCCATTCTAATTTCTTTCAGAATAGTGTAAGTAAATTTTAGACCAGTAAACAAATACATATTTAATGACAATTTTGCAGCATTAAAACTGTAAGAAACTGAATCACGGGCTGCTGTAACATCTACTTTCTCTCTCTCTAAGTGTTATATAGTAGCACTTTTCTTTACAACACTGGTTCTATTGGAATAGGAAAAGGAATAGATTATTTTACAGGAAAGTGTGTTTGTATATGCTTCAAAGTGCATAGCTAAACTCTTAAACAACTTCGTGTTTGAAAATACAATATAAATAAAACATCAATCATGATTAAAGGCTGACATATCTAATCTTGCTATTGGATTACAGTATGTCAAAATATATACAGTCTATGGATGTAGGAACAACAAAACAAAACTGTACTTCAAGAGCCTAAACACCTTTTATGCTGGCAGTGTTCCATACCCTCAAGTATTGGTCAATTTTCTGATAAGTGGAATGATCTTCTTAAACATGGATGAAACAAATTGGCAAGACAGTATGGGAAGGCTAATACTGTCATTTCTTATAGTGTTTCTATACTGTGAATAAATATTAGACTTAGAAACTTGGATATGTTTCTTGGAAAAGTTCAGGCTAATGTTTGGTAATCAAGGCAAAATGATCAAAATAGTCTGTGATATGGGTTTGCTCCATTATTAGTTAATCAGAAACCCCCCTACTGCTAAAACTATTTTATATAACCTTTCTGATTAAGCAATTACAAGGCATGTCATTGAAAAATTGTCCTGTATCTAAATATGGAAATAGTAAATACTGCATTCTACACCTGAAGAGCATCTATACTTCATTGCAGTATGCACACTCTGTCACAACGTGCATAACAATAGACCAGCTATAGGCTGCTAATAAAAGGTCACGACAATAAAACAGGAGCATCTTTAAACTTAACACCAGAATATGAATTTGTTTCTTAATGCTCTACAGTTGGGGCAGTTGGTCATTGCTACGTTTGTAAGTTTGTCACACTTTCTACCACATTCTATTCACACTTCTTATATGTACTATATGTATTTATTATATTTATTTCCACTTTAGTTATGCAGTGTCAAGCTTCAATGACTTGAGCTAAAAATTTCTACATCAGGAAATTTCTGACTGCAATTTTTACAAAATCTCAGCTGAAATACTTTGACCATTTTTGAAAATGACTGGAGAAAACCATGTATATTTGCTTATATTAAGTGTGTTTGATAACATACACTTTGAACTGTTTTAATAGAGCTACACTTTCAAAGCAGAGATTTTAAATTTAGCACAAGGATGGCCTTGCATCAAGAATATGCCTCTGGCCATCTGCATGAAAATACATATAGAATTTAACTATATTATGACCATTTGGAAATACACTCTGGGAAAGCTTTATTTTCAATATTCTCATATGTCAGGGAAACAACAATTTTTTGTCTCTAGTTCTGTCATCTTTTATCCTTTAACCTATACAAAGTATAGAGATTTTTACTCATGAAACTACTAGGATTCTTAATTTTTCCAAGGTAAATTCCTTGAAAAGTCCAATGCCAGGAAGCAATCTCTACCACAAATCTGTGCAAGAACGTCTGCTCATGGACAAGCAGCACTTGGTTTCCTCCATAAACTATACTGTTCCTCAAAATCTAATCCTTAAGCACTGCCTTCTGAAAACATTTTTTTTTTAGAGCTATTTCAATTATGTTGCAGAAGTACTGTTTGTTTGTCAGTGAGTGTCAAGAGTTGGTCTCAGTCTATATCATCAACTTGTATAAAGCTTCCAGCATAAAGCTCCCATTCTAAGAGCAGTATTCATGAACAACAGTGTACAGAATGCAATAAATTTAAAAAAAAAAATCCATGGAAAAAAAAAAAAAAGAATAGGAAAGAAGCCATATAGAGCGGATGCTTATCATCTCATTCACCACATTTCTGGAAGGTGCTCAGAGCCACAGATTCAGGGTAAGTATTTAAAAGGAACAGGTCTCTCTGGCTCCCTTTTCCCCCTTGTTCACTCTTTTGTGCTCTGTTCCAAGGAAATGTGGAATAACGTGTAGAACCACCTCTGCAGGGAATCAAAAATACCAGAGAAGTGTGCAGAAATGGAGGTGTGAGACAGAGGTGTACTTCCACAGAGGAGAAAGTGTGAAGAGTCCAAGAGGAGAAAGTGGGTGACAAGTATATGTGAAAAAAAAAAGGAGATCATCATCAGGGAAAATAGAGGAATCAAGAAAGAGAAGAATGAGAAAAAGACAGGAATGTAATTTAAAAATGCATTGAAGTTCTGCAATGCTGAAAGAAGAATGAT